ATTAAACCAAAGTAAAAGTCTTAGAGTAAAATAAACAAATAGAATAAAGAGAGAAGAAAAGAGAAAAAAAAAAAAGTTTATCAGTTTGAATACAAACTCGATATCACTCGAAGGAAGTTGTGTTCGTAAATAGAGCATTGGCCGTGAATCTTACGTAGATAGGGCAAGACCCGTAAAGGGAATTACCGACCAGCTGTGCTGTCTCTACCGAACTAGTATCAATTAACTATTAAACATAATTGTTAATAAATATCTCTCACCTTAGTATTTAATGTGAAAATGTTTAAATGTACAAAAGCTCTCTGTTCACAAATTATAGCAGCAGTATTTGCAGAATTAGCCAGTTGAGAAGGAGACAAAGACAGAGCGATGCAAGCATTAAACTGTAGTTGCGGCCATTTTCAGATCGACTCTCATTAAAAATAAGGTAAGAAAAAGTGAATACAGGAACAATAAATAAAAAGGATGTATTTAAAAATAAATAAATTGGTGAGAGAAAGTGTAAAAGCGAGAACATTCCTTTGAAGGCAGTTGTGTTGAAAGTTATTTTGATGAGGATGAGGGATTGATGAATTTTAAGAAGTCAGGCAAATACATCGAGATCCGAGGTCTGTTTGAAAAAATAATTTGATGTCCACCCTCCTTTCGACATCGCACTATTCCCGCGGCAAACTACGTATGTTTGGTTTTCCTCTTTCTGATTTTCGTAGCTTTCTTCTTTCGGGCAAGCCAATAGAGGTGTCTGTTGATGGGAGTAATCTCCTAACTCTGATAAATCCGGTGGCAATCATTCTCCTGCTAACCGATATTTTGAATGGAGAAACCCTTCTTAACTTTTCTTTTTGCTATAAGTCGTCTCTGATTTACTGCCTTACGAAGCGTACAATGACAGGTGGCGGTCGTGGGTCATCTTTCCTGTGCCTTGTTTAGGTATTCCGCACCAAGCTTGATCTCCAAGCTTGCACCTATACTAGTCACCAGGGCAGCGGGTGTTGCGCCAGGTCGTTCCGGTATTCCGTGAATCTCCTCTAGTGATCTTCGTAAAAGACCCTGTTCGGCATTATTCAGACTAACTTCTAATTCGTCCACTCGGGATTTGAGGGCTTTATTTTCTATGATAATCTTCAAAGTGCTTAGTTTGTTTTCAAGATGTTTTTCAATCTTTCAACTATCTAGGGATGTTTTCATGTTCGTAATATCCTCTTTCACTGTAGAGTCGGCGATTTACAGCCGCCAGTTTCTCTGAGGCAGACGACTTGGTGTTTGATTTTTTGGTCAGAACACAATTATTACAAAGTGCTTTTAAGGCCCCAATTTCCTTGTTAGTTAGGTTGAAACATCTACTGTGAAAAATTATTTTACATTTTCCACATTAGATATTGTTCTTGTTTTCGAGTGTTATAATATTGTTGTAAATATTACACTGCACCATTTCAATTTATCAATGAATAATAACTTAAAATTAAAATGTAAAACAATTCCAGGAGACTGTGGTTGTTGTGATGGAAGCAGTAAACAGTGTCTAATGCTGTAAGGCTTACTAGATAAGTCTAGTAACTCCTGGAATTCAATTAGATTCACCTCTCCTTCTTTACGTAAATTGGTGTGAAAATCCGACAATTCAAACATTGAATACTAATATTGTTTTATAACAAAGAAAAAAACTGAACTTAACTGAAAGCTAAAATAAATAAAACCAGAATTGTTGAAGTATGAGAGTTATAGTAGTGTGCACACGTAGGTGGCTCTGGGCAGACTCCGAATGATCTATCTATGAAGTGATGTTTAAAACATTCAAATATTCATAAAGTTGAAGTAAAGATTGGTTGGGGTGTTCAGTCAAGAAAACGTAAAATTAAATAAGTTATATTTATTTTTATTTTTTACCGACCTTTCGGCCCAAAGTTTAGGCCTTCATCAGGACTAAGAAGAAAAAAAAAACATATAACAATGGTTATGGGAAATTATTAACATTAAAAAGAAAAAAATATGTAGGTGAAAGGTATAGCCTAAAAAATGTAGGTATATTAACTTTCCTTAAGTTTAAGCTGTTTTTGTTGTTGATTCCTCAAGTTATTCTCTTTTTAAATTTCATGAACTTAGTTTTTCTTTACATATTTTTAAAAAATATTTCTTCTTCTCCATACTGCCTATGTTTAACATCGTTCCTTTGAATATTGTCAAAGATTAAATGACTAAAATCAGCAGGTCATTACATTAAAAAAGGTGAAGGCAGCGCATAGTTCTATAAGGAATGGGTTTCCATCAGCAACGTCGGCACGCACTAGCGCCAACTCGCACCGCAGTTCTTCACCAATTCGCAGTTCTTAATTATGTACTTCACCTCGTCCCTTCTTTACAAAATCCTTAAATAACTTTAAAGAGTATCTGTATCCATTATCCTTTCAAATGTGAATGGTATTAAAAATCATACCGACGAACTAACTTCCCAAACCTTATTACTTGATAAAATCGTTGATGTGAACTCGACTAACCTCTAAACAGTTTTTCAAAATACTGCAATACTTGGGATACCGAACCGACCAATCTTACAGGATAGCACGTGCCGGTACTGCTGTCATTGTTCATCAGCCTATTTCTCATCGTATACTCCATACGCCTATAATCCACTGCTGTAGTTATCAAAACTTGCTGCTATTCCAATCCATATCCAATATACAGTTCAGTCCTGTAATCAATTCCTTGGGACATCATCTCATTCTATATGCAGATTTAAACCTCAAGCATCAACAATGGGGTTCCAGAATTACGAATTCACGGGGGGAAACATTGCTGTCTACACTAAATTCCCTTCCTTTCCATAGCTCTCCTACATACTTTCCCACCATATCCAAATACTCATGATTTAAAACAGCGAGTTAGGCCACATCAATTACGTGTCTAAATGAAATCTGCTCTGATCATAGACCTCTCATTCTCCAAATTTTACTAGATGCCATTCCCACCGTTTTTCATTAGAAGGAACTTTTTTCGTCAAATCCTTTCTGACAAAAATTACCTTTGATATCATTAACTAGTATTATCCAACAAGCTGTCAGGACTGCCTCCTTCCCAATCGAGCCCTCCAGAATTCTTGATGAAAATCCTTTACTTCGACATCTCCCGGATCTAATACATTGTAACGCCGTGCTAGATCATTATGGCAACGACATCCCGCCGATCGCAGGTTCTACAACTATCACTGCAAACGTCTAAAGCTAAAATCAGCCACCTACACATTCCAATCCTTAATTCCTACCTTTCCTCTCATTCGGCACGTCACAATTTCCCATGTAATATCAAAAATCCCAACAAAGTTCCCTGTCTTCTCCAACGAGATTAAGCGTCTTATTCGAGGAGAGAATCAGGATGGACAGGAATATGAGGGGTAAAAGTTTATAGATATCTATGGATATTTACACTCTATTCAGCCTCCATCTTCTTGTACGCCTTCTACGTCCGGCGTTCTTCCAAATCTGGATCCTATGTGACTATTACTGATGTTACTTGTTGATTGTAATTGCCTAATGTATTATGCCTTTAATAATCTCGAGAAAAAAACAATATTATATCTACTATATTTTAAACTAACGTTGATATAACATCTCATAAAGATGCATATTAATGACACAAGTGAGAGGGGCAATAATATTTTTAGGGGAGGGGATGGGCACCCCTGATTACTATAAGTTATAAAGGAATCTAAGTAAAAAGAGAGTATTATAAAGCAGGAGCAAATCGGATTTGAGGGGGCGGTATGTAATGACATATAGGAGCGAAAACAAAACTGAGAAAATTTCTATGAATAAATATTCGAAATGAGGAGTGTCGAGAGAGGGCGACTTGTATAGAATTTCGGCTCTTAGACGTTCATGAACGTAAAGACAAACATGTCCACCTATTAGATCCGTTATATCATGAAAATAAGTACGTAGTTAGGAATGGATACGGAGGAGGAAGGAACATTTTGATTTGAGTTACGTTTCTGATACAGCAATAATATGATAAAAAACATGGAGAAAATAATGAAGAAATTCATCAAAATGTGCCGGGAGGGATTGGGAATTAACGCAACAAATTAACAGGATATTAACCATATAATGAGAAGAAATAATGCACATCAGTGAAAGTTCGACTTAAAATACATTTTTAATCTTTAACTCGTAATACTCTAGTCCTTTCTTTAATCGAGGTGAAGTTATGATTGATCTCCTTGCCGCTGGACTAACATTGAATCTCTAACGGCTGTTGCATTTTTATCACTCCTCTCCGGAGTAGAATAATGTTTGGCCATCAATGTCAATAGTGCGTCTCCTTAGTCAATTTTAAGATAAGTACGCTCCATGATCCAATGGATAGACTGTGTTCAAAGCCGGTTTGTTTCGTACCATGTTTAGACAGTCCGATTTTCTGAGGCTTCTTTTAGGTTTCTTAATAAGGCGTTTTTTTTTTTATTATTTATGTTTTTATTATTTTTTATCTTTTTGTTACAGAATCATGCAAACGAGATTGGAACTTATGACTTTTCGGTTTCGATACAAATTAAAACAAAAGGTCCGTCCCCAATACGAATATTAATAACATTTAATCAATATTTAACAGGAGCTTGTGCCATAAATTATTTGACATTTTTTTCTTGTATAGCAATCAATCCCTATATTTATTTTTCCTTTGAACCTGCAGGCGATGCATAGTGGTAGCAAAGGATAAACATGAACGTAATTTTAATAAATTATGAAATTATTAATTAAGTTACAATTGAAAAATTGTAGATAATTTATAAGAAATACTGTTTTTTCCGATTTTCAAATCTAAAACTGAAGATTCTGATTATTTCTTTAAAGTAGTTTTACAATGATACAATCCATACCGACAATTTGTTAAACTGTTCGTCCCCCCCTCCTCTAAAAGTTAGAATTACGTTATGTCTGTGTATTTTGACTGAATATTTACCTAGAAGTCAGAATTAGTTTTTATAATTGTAAATAATTATTTAATAAATTTGATCGGGAAATTAATCTACGATTGAATGTATCCTATAGTGATGAGAATGGCAACACTGAAATGAGAACATACTTAGAAAGTTTAATAAGCCATCGCCCTGCTTCTCTCTGTATAACGGTATGACAGGCATTCCCAATTATATGAATTTTACTTCGGTATCAGCATTCGACTTCATTTAGGCTTAGTTATTTTTTCTCATGAATTACTTTAAAAACTATTAGATTGTTTAGAATCTTACTAGAACCTGGGGTAAATGGTGCTATGGCGGACTAGAAGAATGTATTTTTGAACTGCACATCATTAAGGATCTTTTACATCATATATAGATCTTATAGCAGGTCAGTTACAAATTGTTTATCAGTAATATTCTTCTTAATTTGTATTATGAAATAGAGCTTCTCCATTACAATTTTTTACCATGGTGTTAGTAACATTATGTTCCTGTTTCTTTTAATCTGAGATTTAATTATTAAAACTGAGTGAGACTTTTTTATGATCCTACAATAAATATACCTTATTCATCTTTATCTGTTAGCTATTAATGTTATAAAGATTCATATTGATTACTATATCAGTTTTTCTGAGATTATATATGTTTATCAATGAAGCAACAGGGTTTATTGTTTAATGTAATATATATATTTAAAGATGTTTTCGTATATTTTATTACTCTGGCTCTGACTTAATAGTAAGAGTTGGTTCATGCCGAATTGTTGTTTAAACATTGTTTAATGTTAATAAGTTTTACTCAGCTATTAACTTTCATTGTTTTACTCTCTTAATATTGATCGCGCTGTTACTCTCTTGAGTTAAATAAAATGTTTTTTATCAATTAGTTAAATATTTATATTCCAGGAGTTCTTGTCTTTTGATACTGAAAAATTAGGGCTCATTCTTGCCCTTTGTATTCATTATGTACTTCTATATCCAGTAAAAGTATTCGTTTCTTTTTTCAATGAAATGCAGTTGATTATTGTTCATAGTTTTCTCTAATCAAGTTCATTTATTGTAGGTCTTGATATTTTTAGTATTTCAGTTTTCATTTAAACTTAAGAATTTTATGAAGTTGAGATTTAGGCTTCATAATTTATATATACCTTTATTAAACTTTTGTTCTTTTTGTGTATGTGCATGAGTTTATTCTATATGTAAAAAATATTCTAGTATCGCTTGAATTGTTAACTGTTCTATTGAATTTCCTCTAAAATTTGCTTCCATATCAAATGGAAGGGGTGAGTCATGGTGTAAGCTTATCTTTTATTTTATCATATGCAATCTGCAATTCAGTTTGAAGCCTTTGGAAACCGATGAACATAATGTCTGGATATTTTAATGTATTTGTATCATGTTTTTCCTTTTTCTCTAATTTGTGTGTATAAATAAATGTTTGAATTTTAAAAAGTTGATGTTATTTGCATTCTTGTTATTTAAGTTTTTTTTTTTTGTTGTATTTTCTTATAATAATTTAATGCCATTTATTGTTTAATTTTTTAATGTTATTTATGCCACAATAAACATTGTTGTTTTGCATTAGATCAAGATAAAATAATAGGAAATTACTGAATGAATATTTAGCATATTAATTGTTATGTTTTTTAACTTTGAAAAGAAAAACATGGTGTCTTTTATTTTCTCTTTTTCTTAATTTCAATAAATTAAATGTATAACTCTCTTTAAATAGTATTGACAATTTTCTGGGTTTTTGTTAGTAATAAAAATTGTATTTCATATAATGGGTTCAAAAGCGAAGGGATACCAGTGCCAATATCATATTTCTCAGAATATGCAGATTTAATGTAAAATATTTTCGTAAGTTCCCTTAAACATTTACTTATATACAGTAGTTATATTACAATTGTGTATCCCTCAAATATTGCGCACTAAGCATTTGAAATAAATTAATTCCATATACCTATCATTATTTGTTGAACATAAACAAGGGTCAGTTGTTGTACCCCTGATTTTAAAGGTAAATAGGTAGTAGTGATACATCAGAGTATAGAATGGCAAATAAAAACATATATTTACAGGATTTATTAGTGAAGACTTCTGTAAGAATTTTTGAGAACCAAACCACAAATTTAATAATTCCTTTATCACCATATTCATTGGAAAAATTAATTACTTTCTATTCTGACTCCCTCACCAAAATAGGAATCAACTCTTCTTCTAGAGCTTTAAGATCTTTATAAGTAATTAAAATTCGTAACAACCATAGACTTGTAATATATGCCTTAGATACATGAATTGTCAACCAAAATTTGGAAAAAATGTAAACACTTACCTCTAAGGAGATTGGAAAGAGAATCATCAGTATTGTTCCGTATATTAACACATCACTCAATAAGTCTCCAGTCTGATACGTAGATGGCTACATTGTTGACAATGACAGACCCACATGATTTCGGGGTAGTAATAACAAAATACTTTTGAAGCCAAACAGTGGCTTGATACCAGATATAATGGGACTCTTCACCATGGAAATCTACTATTATTGACTGCTATGCTGAATTTAAATGCGGTCGTACAATCACCAATAATGCTGAGCTATCTGGTCGCCCTCAATCGGCAATTGTTCTGGAAAAACTTAAAAAATGTCCACCAAATAATTTTAAAAGACCATAAAATGAAGTTGCGTGATATAGCTGACACCTTGAAGATATCAGAAAGTAGTGTCTTTGCAATTTTATATGAACATTTGGTCATGCGGAAGTTGCTTTCGAAGTGGGTGTGGCGTTTGCGTTTACTCACATCGAACCAGAAACAACACGTCGAGAATTCAGAGTGCTGTTTGGAACAGTTCAAGCGAAATAAAGAGGATTTCTTGCATCTGTATGTGACAATAGATGAAACATTGATCCACCACTACATTCCTGAATCAAAATGATGGTCAGCATAATGGACAGCAGCCAGTGAAAGTTTTCCAAAGCCACCAAAAACTCAAAAGTCGACTGGCAAGATCATCGCATCTGTATTTTGGGACGTGCATGAAGTTTTGTTCATCGACTATCTTGAGAAAGGTAAAACTATCAATAGTGAATATTACATTTCTAAAAAAAAATAAATTGTTTTTCTTATTTAGACCGTAGACTTATTGAGCGATGTGTTATTTCCATTTATATACCATATTACTGTCATTATTAAGTTAATTCTGAATGCTAGCAGTGTGTTACAATATTTAAAACTTAAAATACAAACTCACTAAACTAATTAAAAGAGGTTACAATAATGTTTATTTAAACTGATTAAAGTATTGTCAACAGAGTGGGTGTTAATATAGTTGCTGAGTATAAAGCATGAAAGCATACATTTTGGTGCACATGAGGTTAAAGTGTCACTTGTACCCATTAGCCACAAAAAAAAAAAAACCAGCTGATTTTTTAAGTAGATAATTTTGTTACTGCTATATCTCAGCCAAAAGTAGACATTTGCTAGTACCCTATTGTCATCGACCTTCTATATGCATTAACGTGTCTACTATTTTACTGAATTATTGAAGGAAGTTAGTCGACTGTTCTATATATCATGGGTGATAAATATTCAGGACGCAGTCATTGTCAAGGTTTTATTGGTGCTGACGTTTCAACTCAAAACATATGGGTCATACCAGGGCTGAAAATATTTTAATACAATCAGAGATACAATATTATACGACATATAATCGTTAATAATAAGAAAATGGTGATTGATGGTACATGAAATTTGTAAAAAGTTATAAAAACTAAAAATAATGTATATAATCAATTTATGAAAAATATAATGTTTTCTCTTACTCACCGTGTTTCGAGCACTGAAGGTATTCAAGTACTGATACTATAGTAGGTAAGTAAAAAGGGGTCGGTAGAGGATTTTCCAGATATGCTTTTAAGTTAAGATAGCAAAAATTAGGTAAACGTAGTCAGAAGGAAGTAACATTTCTGTTTGTAGAATGCGAATGATTGGTAACTAAATTATTCTTGATGTATACAAGATTTGTGTTGTTTCTTATAGTTACAAAATTGTGACTATTGGGTAGTAATGAAATGTATATAATAAATGTAGGAGTAGTTACCTCTGTACGTTGACGGAGAAACAGGGAAAATGAAAAATAATTTTTAATTATTATAGACTATTGTTTTAGGAGTCGGAAAATGTTCGAATATGTATTTCAGATCTTTTCTTTATCTACATTGTGATTTACCGGATTATTTTTTTTCCAAATTGATGAATATAGCTTTTGAAAGGAGTCGTTTTTGGTGATTAGGAACTGTGGCAATGTTTGGTATTCCAAAATTAAATATGTAGTTAGGGATTATGGTGTGTTCAGCTAGTTTTGAGGCGAACAGGTTGCGTGAGGAGGTGCTATATTTATTCGTTTTTTAGATAATTTTTTGTTTCTGGTATATAAGAAGAATTGCAGTTTGGGCTAGAGCATGTGATATGGTATACTATATTTGATTGTTGTAGGAGCGGAACAGGATCTTTGAGTTTAGTGTATAGATTTCGTAAGTTGCTGTTATTTTTTAAAACTATTTGTAGATGGGGGAGTTTGGAAGTTAAAGCTTTTTTTTTTAGATAGGACCGGGATGTGGTGGGAGATTGAGAGAAGTTTGTGGGATACTGGTGAAGATGAGGTTTGGATTGATTTTTAATTAGGTATTTTATTATGTGATCAGAAAAGGCGTTGGATTTCAGGATCTTGTGTAGTTTAGTTAGGTTATTGTCATGGAATTGTTGGTCAGCTAATGTTAGACTGCGGTGTAACAGGTTTTCAGCTACATTGATTTTTTGGTGGTAAGGATGTTGGTGAAAATATTTTAGGAGACGGCCGGAGTAAGTAGGTTTGTTGTACCAATTGTTGGATAAGGTATAATCATTATTTCTGGAAATCGATGATCGAGAAATGGGAGGGAATTATTTGATTCTATTTCAATGGTGAAACGGAGTCGAGGGTGGTATGAGTTAAATTCAGAAAGTATGTTTGGAATAGCATGGGGATTGAGCATTTATAAGAGGTTGTCAACATATTTTTTAATTTAAAAAAAATCATTTGGAAATTGAGGTAATATCAAGTCAATTAGGTTGTTAAGGACAATACTGGAGAGGTCTGGTGCCAGTCAATTACCCATCACCAGGCCGGAAATTTGATGAAAAAATTTGTTTTGAATAGATAGGTAGCCAAAGTTACAACATAGAGAGAAGGATTACATGTGTGGGAGGGAAATATGTGGTGCTATGGTAGACCAATTTTCTTCAATTATTTGGAGAGCACGGTCTGTGGGAGTGTCGGTGAAGAGACTTTCTGCATCAAGGAGGCTAAGATGAAATGTGATAGTATGTTCATGGATTTTAGTTGGTC